CTCTAGACAGGGAAAAGTCCACCCATACTGTAAATGGTACATCGAAGAAAACGCAAAATATTTAATCTGAGCAAAAGTTGTCCAGTACCGTGAAGGACGTTTCAGTACACAGAAAACAAGTTAAGCACACGCACCGGTAAGAATGAGCGTATTTAGAATGGTATTGTGGCCCTTCTCACACACAGAACGGCCTCCCGAAGGACTTGTGCTCAACACCACGGTACTATTACAAGCGTTAAGATTAAGAGTCCATCGGTCAGCTTTCTGTTATTTAATGATAGGTTAGCGCGGTGTGTTCTGATTTAAGAAAGACACAAAATGAATGTGCTAGCTACTGGCCAGTTACGTGGTACTTGCGAAAAAAGTACCAGAGTTTGGGGGAACTTTACGTTAGGATTGCAAGGAAACTGTATAATAGTTTTGGTGGTCTCGGCTTCTAGTCCAGATATACTAGTCGTGTGCCATATGGCAACGATGCTCCAGGGACGGTACTAAAATCCTGCCAAAATATTAATGCTGAGGTGGTGATTGTGCATGAATTGATAAGATGTTATTGGGGCGCAAGGCGGGCACCCGACCTGGTCAAGGACTGGTTAGACAGCTTCTAATAAATGAAATGAATGTTTACGAGCACTCAAGACCAGCTAATTGCGTACACAACAATAATTATTACAGCACTGACATGAAAAATATATCGATAACACAATTTCAATTATCTGACAAGGCCATGGTGTCCTTGGTTTCCTAACGCACATCTTAATATTTTGGCAGCGCATGAAATACGTGCTCTACCTGTTTCTTAACAAACACATAAAGACATCAGACCAACATAGAGACACAAGGGTCCATCGAGGTTGTTCTACCCCAGGTTTCGCGCCTATCCTTGGCACCAATCCTAACCGCCTGACCTGCCTGAATTTAGAGATAAATAAGCTCCTTAGACCGACGGATTTTGTCGAAACGATTTTTATATGTTGCTAGAGAGGGGCTTCCTCCAACTTTGTTGGGCAGTCCATTTCAATGATTCACTATTCTTTGACTTAATGACATCTGCCTATTCACAATGCTGCTGATACCTTTTGCTAAATGAAGCTGGTTTTCTCTAAACTTTGGCCTAATTTTCGGTCTTCTTGTAGATCTACCTTGTCTATCACTTTCATAATAATGAATAACTCTATCAGATCCCCTCTAAGTCTACGATATTTCAGTGACTACAAATCCAGGGCCCTAAGCGCATTCCTATTCTCTAAGTTGCCCATCCCATTTGTCATCCTATTTGTTTTTGCTCAACGCTCTCCAGCCTATGTATATCGTTTTTAAAGTATGGGGACCAATCCTGTACACAATATTAAGTGTGGTCTGGCATAAACTAAGTACAACTTTCTGAAAACTTTCCACTCTCGTCATGAATATTCCTGTTAATAAGTCACAGCATTCGAAGTGCCTTGTTCCGAACAGCCCAACATTGCTTTTTAGCCTTTTAATTTCCTGGGATTATAACCGTTAACTCCTTTTCCTGCCTCGATGTGGTCCAACTTTTGGCCGCCCATTCCATAGCTACTGCCCTCGCTACCAGAACTACCCAAACGCATCACCTTACGCTTATCATAATTAACTGACATCTGCCAACCGCCGATAATGCCACAACATTCCTTGGTTCAACATATTCATCAATCGCCCGATAATGTAGCTGCAGCGGGTCCTAGGGTCCGTTAAAAGGTGGTCTTCACGAGCCTTTCACGACAGCTCACTAGCTCCCAGTACGCGCGAGTTGACGGCCCGAGTGATGCGAGGCGCCACAAAACTCCTCCGATAAAATATTAAGCATTCGCGCACTTTCTGCAAACTGACAGTGCAACTTAAATTAAATTGCAAACAACTATAAAGCTACCTGGTAAATAGCGGATGCAACATTGCACACAACGTATCACGTAAAACAGAAGCCTAAACAGCGAGCAGGAGAAGGCCGGACGCGCCCATCGATCGGAGAGGTGTGAGAGCTGAAGGAAAGCGTATCTGCTGGATGCGCCACCAGACAAATGTATACAAGATATCGGCCCCAGCGACTGGCCTAATGCGCCTTGAACGACACTGCTTCAATTAATTTTTGCCGGATCCTGTCCCTCTTTAGGCGTGCGTTATGCAGCTTTGCCTAGTAATCAGGACACACCCGTCGCTAGGTGGCCACCAGCATCCTGATGAGCTCGGTGTGGTGGTTTTCCAAACCGCACTGAGCTTCCAGGAGGTGACGGTCGGGATCTCACACGCCATGGTTACCGATCCCGCACACCGCCGTGCTCTCCAGCATCCGCCAGGGCACTGCTTGGTAAGCCGCGTCCAGCCGTATGATGTCTCAGCGAATCTCCTCCTCAGCACTCAGGACCACCTCCGGACAGCTCCTGCGGAGCGACTCGTCAGCCCACCACGACTTTTCAGCCACAGACGGTGACATAAGGATGTGGGGTCATAAGGGCGCTTCTTGGCAGGTAGCGCAGCCTGCTCTGTCCAGTGCTCTTTGGACGACGAACATGTGAGATATAGCAAATGGCATTGGCGAACCCAAAGGACAGTCCCGGCCGGTAGTCATCATCGCCCAGTATATCGAGCACCTCGGTGCTGTCGGTGTCATACGTGCCATCCGCGCCCCGCTAATTGGAGCTGTGATGTATAGCTGGGATGGATGCGGGATCCAGCCCAGTGATGTTCCTGCTGCGCTCCGTGCACGTGTCTGAATGTGTGACAAACTGGTTAGCGTTCGGGTTGTTGCTCCACCCACATAGGAAATCGTAAATGGATGGTAACGAACGCAGCAGAACCAGCGAACTCGAGGCCATCATTTCGGGTTATTTTCTGGGTCTGGGTTAGACACGGGGACACTTGTTCTCAAAAAGCTGGAGTATATGATATTGATGTTCTGTTCTCAAACAAGTGAAAGCAGCCTGCAAGGCAAAGAACACGACCTAATTTCACTGCAACCAACGGTCTCCAAGTGGGTAGCTCATTAAGGTCACTGCTGGTAGTAAACAGTAGCACAGTGGAGCTCTACAACATATGTAGGTTGAGAAGCTATGGATCGCCATCTGGAGTGATTAGGCACCAGCACACCAAAGTAACGTTTATGGCTTAACTTTACAGCTTTGCCACTTCGTGTTGTTCACAGCAATGTTTCTGGCTTAAAGCAGGAGAATGCTACAAAGAGCACCAAAATGGCAGTTTTACTGGATTCTGCTTAAAACATCTACCTGTATCATGTGTATCAACGTCAAGAGAAATCATTCACAATCTGGTTGACCAAGATATCTCTCAGGTGATTTCGACGTGAATCCAAAACTGATAAAACCGTATTCGAATTATTGAAAGGCCTCTTAAACCTGACAGTAGTTGTATTCCACTTTATAAGTCCACAATTGAAGCATTTATGTTCCCATGACTGCAACAGACTAAATGTTCAAATGATTAAAACTAACAGTTGAAACCTGAAAATTTTAGCTGCAATTTTAAATTTACAGTTAAAACAAAGAGCACCAGCACCAAGCAAGTTCTGCCAAAATGTCATATGTGGCAAATAAGCATTCTGTTCTAGAGGTTTTAGTTCTGACCATATACATAAGATTAAGATATTTCAAAGCTGTTAACGGTGATGGGGCAGGCTTCTGATAGCAAGTCATAAAAGCGGGCTGTGCAATGTACATGAGGCTTAAGCCTGTCGAAGTGGCGGACGGTAGCAGTGTGGATGAATTTTTCATACAAATTAAATATTATGTATGTCATCTGTACCAGTTCCTGATTCCTGAGCAAAATCAGCACTCCGTGGACCAGATTTCACTTAGCAGTTCTCATCTGTCAGTCAAGCTAAGTGCAAAACACGTATACACTTTCCATTCACCAAATCATGCCCATGTAGTCATACATGGTATCAAGAATTAGGAGTACACCACAATAAAATCTTCGCACTAATAAACACCTACCAGAAGATTTTGGTAAACATATGTGGCCAAAATTGTCGTATACTGGTTAATATCTATTGGAAAAATGCTCAAGCTTCAGCATCAATATTGCAATTTTTACAGTGATTTGCATTAAGTGCCTGCATTAAAAACATGAAACAGAAAACAATGCCAAAATTTTGACGTAAAAGTTAGTGAACTGCTTGTTACATATAACGTAGAAGATGATTCAAATTTGATATGACTTGCCACCTAAAGAAATACGTCATCCAGAAACTAAGCAGGAAATTATCACAACTGGAACATGCAATCACAATACTCGTAATGTGTAACCATGAAAAGGTATCTATCTGGCAAAGCTAAACACAAAAAGTCAGACAGCTCAGTTAAAAAACTTAAAGATATCTTCAAAAAAAAATCCTGGACTCTGAAGAGCATTGACCCCAGCTAGACCATAAATATCCCATTGAAAGAGACCCCATCGGGCTGATTGGCGCCTCCGAATGGCACCATCACCGCCGACTTATCTACAATAACACAAAAAAACACACAAATGTATGGCCACTTGGGTATATCTGTGGCTTGCGGAGACCATGCTACTACGCAGCACATCCAACGAAAGCAATAAAACAACGAAGTATTTGCCACCCACCCCAAATACCGACCCCTCCATCCAGTGCACACAATCAACCCGCACAGCGGGTTCGATGACTGCTCGAAGACTGCATCGGGTCGTTTAGATCCATGGTCTGGTGCACAATACCAAAACTAGTATCGGGTTTCCTTGCAATCTGACGTAAAGTGGTTGAGGAGCTGCCAGTCTGGCTCAAGGTCACCGGGTTTTCAGCTGGAAGATTTCGAACGTTGCGTATTGCGGCAAACTTGGCGGGTGTTATTCCATGCGAAATTGCTGCATGTGTTGCAGAGGTGGTGATCCCAGCATGAAGCGGTGCACATAGCGCACATAGCACATGGAGTTTTATGCCATTTGCTCTTGTTCAGATGGCTTGAATATTCTTTCAAAAGAAAGCTTGTGAAAATGAGCTTGTAAGGATGGTGCACCAAACGCCAAGTGAGGGATTATATAGTCCATCAGATTGCATATGATTCAAAAGAAAAAACTGAAGTTTTAACTGATGTCAAGAATTTAAGCATTGTTTTAGTAAACTAACATAGCAGAACAAAAGGAGCGCACGCAGATGTACCATGTTTATACAGGACGTTTGATATCACTTTTATAGGAGCTTTTTCAGCGTTAAACCCGTTGTGTGCAATTACGGCGAATAATCATAAAAACGGCTTTGCTCTTTCAATATCTGCATCCTCGCTGTTATCGGACGCCATTGCTAAGCAACACCTGTAGGATACTTTTTGCGTAGGATACATCGCTACTCACTTGGAACGAAATCAAATAGCAACACTGTAGCTACATAGACTATTGCGATTTAGTACCGATGAGGAAACGGCGCGGCATTGTGCACGTAACGCCGACAATTTGAAAGCAAGCGTGTCCAAAGTTAAAAATAAAAACTGTCACCAAACCGGTATCGAAATTCGAAAATGTCAGTCTTGAAAAAAAGTTTGATGCAAGTGAAAAAGTCCTCAGTTTGGGTTTGGTGGCCATGCTTGAATGCTATGGCTCCTCTGAACTTGGCCAAACTGCAAGAAACAAGTACATTGCGAAAGTTGTTCAGTGCATTTGCGAGGAATATTTTTCAGATAAATAAGACAGGAGTAATAGCCTTGTTCCTCGGAGAAATCCAGGAGAATGTAGATTGAAATGGGTTGATACTTCGGCAACATGCCTTTATTGAGACAGTAGCAGAAGTAAAGTCGCCTGGTTTTTCTCCGAGGAATAAGCCTACCACTACTGTCCTTAACAAGTGCATTCACTCATGCTAACGTAAAAGGGCAAAAGACTACCCCGATCCGACACAATGTCACGGCTTCTAAAACAGATGTTGATCTATCAAAATGATAGTCCTGCGTAAGTATTGAGACGCGGCATCGACAACACTGATGTAATAATTGTTCGTCTCTCGTCATCGGCTAGTGGAAGCATGTACACGTCGTTTCCGGCATCTAACTACCCGACTGTAGTCAGGTGTTACGGGGGTCCTCAGACGGAGTGGATGGTGCTTCGCTTTCAGCCACATCCAACTGCGGCCAGTATTTTCCTCTTGGAATTGCTGGCATTCGTGCCAGGGCCTTCTGATCGCGTCGATCTTGATAAGCTGGGTTGGTAGGGAAGTGGGCTTGTCATCACGAGAGTCTAGTTCGAACCCCAGCAATTTCAAGGAGATAATCCGGGTTGTGATGCGTACATGGCTGAGAGCCAAACGTCATCCAGTCCTTGTCAGGGCTCAGTAATACCTAACGACGATCGGACAGTTAATTAGTTAAAACGTTGCGTACATACTAACCCACCAGCAGATGACGTCAGTCCGAACAACTGCTCCATCACTTTTTAAGTAGTTCGTCGTGCACGGTTTCTGGGCCTTAAAACTGCATGATCCGATGTGAGGTTCAACAGAGCTGTACTACACAAATCAAACGGTTACAAAGCTGTCTTAGAAGTGTTGACGTTCGGTTAACTGCCGAGTGTTAGACCACCTGTTAAGTGTGGAGTGCAAATATACTAAAAAGGTTTAAATGAAAGAGTGTGAAATCTGAAGCATGAAATTCGTTGAACTGCGAGACGGATTGGAATGACCACTTCCAAGCAAATTAACAGGGTATAATTTACAGTGTGCAAACATTAAGCTTTGTACAAAAAATGTGTCTGTTTCACCTAATTCTGCATTATTGAAAGAGCTGCAGCAGTGTGCGTGCTACAGTAATTTTGGAGCACGTCAGTGCAGGGCGATGCTGGGCAGGGCCGGAAGAGGACGTTTCGATCCCAGACGCATCCCGCCCGGGATCGGGTGGGATGGAAGAATCGGATGGGACAAAACTATTGTCTTGTGCCGGAGCGATGGGACGGTTAGGACGGACGGAGTCAAGACCGAAGCAGAACGGTGTATGATGCTGCCCCATCGCCTCCCGTCCCGAGCCATCCCGTGCCATCCCGTTCCGCCCCATCCGGACGACAGGATCGGACTCAGCGAAGCGGACCAACTCAAAGAGACTAACTTTGAGGAGTGCGGTCCTCTCCGCCATCACCGCGCGCGTGTACGGCTGAGGCACTTGCGGCACTGCAGCACACGCTGTTACAGAGTTTACACTGCTGTGCGTTTCGACCTTTGTCTTATGTTCTCAGCGATGTGAGCGTCACTTTCTGCTGCATGTAAGCGTTCTCAGCATGTATGATATGATACGTCGTGCAGACCCTGCGCCCCACGCCTCCCTCCGCTCGTCTCGAAACGAGATGGTGTCACGAGCACAGCAGCCTGCCGTTGAGACGGCACCTGTGTTGTCGAGACGGCTTGTGCTATTCACCAGACGTGCCGACCGTCGTTGTTACAGCTCCCATGGGTTCATTGTCTTGGGCCTGCCGCAAGCTGGCGGTGAGTACAGTTTCCGAAGGATGCTTGTGAAAGTTGTGTGTTAGTTTTCGCGACATCTGAAAGGTCTACCAAACTGGAACATTTACTTGTCGACATGACAAGTTTTAGCTTTGTTGTGAGAAATTGGTCCCCGGTACTTTGTCCCTGCATTCTTGCGTATTCAAGTGACTAATGGGTGTCTATTGATGAAGCTTGAGCGACTGCCGTCTTCTCGCCATAATTTACAGGAAAAGGGCATGCCATTCCGACAACCGAATGTCTTTTGCGAACTATGACCTTAGCAAAACACTGCTAAGACGAATATTGTATGGGCCTGCTGGGTTAGAAAAAAAAAACAAACACCACTAACTCGTAGTTGCTAAGTCGTAGTATCTCACACCTTCGAGAGCCCTGCTGGGTTAGAAAAAAAAACAAACACCACTAACTCGTAGTTGCTAAGTCGTAGTATCTCACACCTTCGAGAGCACACGTCAAACAGCTTCCCGATAATATTAAACGCCGTAATACTACATTGAGTGGCTAAATTTGAACCTGACCACTCAGTATACCATGAACCCAGAGACGTTTCTGCGTATTCATCATCACTCAACCGCAGGGCTGTGCGTCATGCTCCTGCATCAATTAATCCCCGCCAACTAAAACTGGGAGCTTTTAAGCGCAGTCACAGATCCCTCTGACCCCGCGGCCAGGCCCGAGTTCGATGCCCGCTGCGCATTCAAGCCACTCGTCAGAGGACACTTGCAGGGCGAACACAGATGAGCCGTGAATGTCAGCTTCGTCATAGTAGCAGGTCGGCTAACTCCGACCAGGCTTTCCACCAGTCGCCGTCTGGTAACGAGAAGCAAAGGTCGGCCGTCATCACATGTACCGCGATCGGTCCCGCCGGAGCAGGGATCTACATAATGATCGTAGCGGTCTGTAAGCAGCTATCCTCAGACATCAGTCCAGTATCGGAATTGTTAGCTCATCGACCGGCAATCGCTGCGTGGAGTAGCTAATTTGGTACCGCTGTAGTATGTCGGGAACAGCCTATCGGTATGGTGCACAAGCACAAAATAATTTGGCAGCGTGAAGACAAAATAGAGAATACCACTGCGATGCGACCACCACGGTTAACTAATGATCTTCGTGAACAGCTGACAAATGACCGGAGCAGTCAGTGAAATGGTGCCTGATAACACTTTTGGCTGCCTATTGTGCAAGCAAAGCATTTAAGGTCCCTGCAGACGAATGCCGGGCCAGCAGAAAAATCGTTCCAACCGAAACATGGGGCGGCACATGTAGGAAGTTGCGGCATGCTTCGTGATTTATCTTCTCTTTTTGCCGGGAGCTTTCTTAGAGTTCAATAATTCTGCAAAGTTTTGGCCTTGGTATGGGTCTGATGGGAGGCCAGCATGCGCTGGTGGTACTTTCTTTGTGTCGGTATTTTAGTCTTTAGCGTTTCGACCGAAGACGAAGCTCAATGGTGCCAACATTTCAGTTAATGATGTTGTTTGGTGCCTATCAAAAATGTGTCTTTGAAATTGGAATGCCACGCCGTTTCAAGGAAAGATAAAATGAGAATACAGCTTGTATGGACGCATTCTTATTTTATGTTTCCGGTATCAAATCGTCCGAAGCCCTTCTATGACGCCCTTTTTAAAATTTCGAATAATTGGGGGATAAACGCTCCGGGCGCTCAGCATATGTGCGAGACCAACTAGCGATATTCCATTTCGTAAGAGAAGGTTAATTATCGCTGGGACAGAGCAGTTGGTGAACAATTGGTGCATTTCGTGAGGAAAAAGGTCACTGTTGGCGTAATGGCTGTCAGTTCCTAACACTGTTTAAACCTAACACCTTCTGAATCTAACCAGCCAGCTCATACACCAGCCATGTATTACGTGCGTTTCTGTGTCGATAACAATAACTGCAACAAAAATAATGACGCGGACAGCAGCGACATGAGTAACCAAATGAAAACTTCTGCTACGCTCGTTGCAATCGGACCGACTACAGAACCTGTAAACTCGTACGAGACCGAACTTTGTAAGCGCTTGACATGATCGGCGCGCTGCGATCTGCGCCCATCTTGGCCGGTTCATTTCGGCCGGAGCGGCGGGTAAGGTCAGGGGTCGTCGGCCTGGCGGCGGCGGCCGACCGGCCGGGCCAAGTTGGCCGCCGGCTGCGGCGACTCCATCCGCCAGTCCGTACAAGTGGTAGAGCAAGCCGTGCCGGCGAACTTTGTTTATGGGATTGCTTGGTTTACGGGCGCACTGATGAGCGGGCCAGCGCGGACCGGCCGTCTTATTTCCCACCGGGCCGTCGTCCCGATCGTCTCGGAGGTGATGCAGCGGCTGAGGCGCGCCGGGAGACAACACGGCTCCGCCCGCTGACTCGCCGGGGCCGACCGCCGCCGCCCGCCCCACACCAGCGCCGCCTCTCCGCCGCCGGACGATTTGACGCCGCTCGCGGGCTGCGGTGGAAAAGTGCAGCGCTCGGGAAAAAAACGGCCGGCTGATGGTTATTGGGTTACCGTCTGCTAGTTCCTTGAAAATTAAGCGCACTCCGTGCCTTTCGATCAAATGGGGTCTGCTTTTAAGATGTGGTAATGAGCGTGAGGTAGTTCACTATTTTGCCGACTCCGGCATTCACGGTGGCGACGTCGGAAATTGTATTTCTCTGCCCGACTGGCTATGCCCCTAAATCCGGCACGGCTTCGCTAAATTTCCTATGAATTGAGCCGATTCCATGCTCAGTAACATGCCTTGTTTTTTCTGAACTGTGTCGAACTCACGTTTGTATTGACTTGTCCCACGTCCCCAGTGCTTAACCGTATATGATCTCATAGGCTCATTGGTTGGCTTTGAACTGGTTCGATACAGCAAGCCTTTCTAAGGTACTTCCGGATACTAAGGGTAGGATGGCTAGGAGAGGATATATCGGCACTTAAGATGCATGGTTCTTCACACCGCCGTTTCTATGTGCATCTTCATACATCTTCGCCGACAATCCAACCGTTCGCTCGGCCTTCCGCAGCCCCGCACGCCAAGGTGGCCGGCCCCACCGACCTCTACGTCCAGCTGGACAGCAACATCAACCTGAGCTGCGAGCTGCGCGTGCTGGCCGATCCGCCGATCACGCTCACCTGGCTGCGGGACGCGGCGCCGATCGACCTCGGCTCGCCGCGCGCCGGCATCAGCATCCAGACCGAGCGCACCAACCAGGGCAGCAGCAGCTTCCTGGTGATCTCGCGCGCCCGCCAGCGCGACTCGGGCAACTACACGTGCCGCCCGAGCGAGGGCCGCTCGGCCGCCGTCCGGGTTCACGTCATCGATGGTACGTCCGGCGGTGCCCACTGGGGTGGGGCGACGCCCTGGCGGTGGCGCTCTTCCCAGGGGCCTGTGTGGCACGCTCCCCCGCCGTCTGCGCTGGAGGGTACGCGATTACATGCGCGGTTCTGGGGGTACGCCAGGGAGGGATGCGAGGGTGTCATGTATGATGTCGCAGAGGGAGGAAGAGGATGGGAAGGTCGGAGGCTCCGGAGAGCTGTTTTGGTGGGTGATGGTGGTGGGCAGAGCTGCGAGTGTGTCGTAACCAGCGGGCGTTCCCGTGCTCGGTCCGTGTGTCATCCGAAATTGGGAGCACGGTCATGTTTTCGGGTAAGGTACGTATCTGGCTTACCTGCGACGGCCATGCGAAAATCGATTTCCAACTTGGAAGAGAGGCGAAGTAAGTGCAGCAAGTCGTGGTTGTCTATAGAACAGCGCCAAGCAACGGCCAACGCGTCCTGACGGTCGTGTACGTTGGACAAATGGACAAAAATATCGATAGGAGGCGGAGGGCATGATTGATGATGTGCATCTGATGGCATAACGGCCAATAACTGCGCAGTGTGCTCATATCCAAACATGCCATTGCTGCGCTGTACGCATCCATGGTCTCAATCAAGTCCTTCTACTTTAAGCCCACACTTGGGTTTTGGCCCGCGTCCTTCATAGTGAGCTTTCACGTATTTACTTCACTTACTGCGTTGATACAGGTCATAACCCTAGTGGGCGGCGCTGGCGTGTAAAGAACGGCGCTCTGACGTGGACTGCGACGAGCGATTGGGCTCCAGATTAGCTAATCTGGCGAAATGGTGAATCCGTACACTGCCGTCTCGGTGCTTTAAACGAGTTTTGGGGTCCGGGGCTTCTATCCGGCGTGAGCAATCAAGGGGGGATGTGAGGCTTCCTAAAAGCATACAATCATCGGACACAATACCTAATTTTCTTTCAGCCGTGCCTCAGCGGAGCGGTATCGCGCGTGTATAAACTCCCGAATTGGCAGAACCATATGCAAGAACAACAACACGCAGTATTGCAAATTGGCAAATGCGTGCAGAACTAAGACGCGTTTAAGCACTGTACGCTGACCGCTGAGAGAAAAACTGGAGCTGTTCCTCGCGGCACGCGCGATGAGCTCAAAATCGCCGCGGGTTTGGAGAATTTTTTAATCAACTAAATGCTGCGTAATGCATGGCAAGCCGATGGAGACATGACTCGCATGGGTTACGGAAAGTGACAAGATCGATGCTTTTTCTAGCCAAGTTACTTAACAGTCTTTCCTTGCTAGAGGCGAGCTGGAGACAGACGATAGTTTCAGACACGTGGTGCCTTGTGAATAGCTGCAGAATGTGACTAAGCAATCGGTCCCTGGATCCAGAAGAGCACGGCGATTCGTCAATTGACGCGTCAGTTCTCTCCGCAGTCCACAGTCTGGGGAGAGAAGGGTGACGGCGCAGGGCCAAGGCAAAGAGCGGGAGGGCGCAGGGTTAAGGTCAGGAGCGAGACGACGCAGGGCTAAGGCAAGGAGCAGAGCGTCGCACGGTTAAGGTCAGCAGCGGGACGGCGCAGAGCTAAGGCGAGGAACGGGACGGCGCAGGGGTTAAGGTGAGGAGCGGGACGGCGCAGGGGTTAAGGTGAGGAGCGGGACTGCGTAGGGTTAGGGCAAAGAGCGGAACGGCGCAGGGTTAATGTCAGCAGCGGGACGGCGCAGGGCTAGGGCAAAGAGCGGGACGGCGCAGGGTTAAGGTCAGCAGCTGGACGGCGCAGAGCTAAGGCGAGGAACGGGACGGCGCAGGGTTAAGGTCAGGAGCGGAACGGCGCAGGGTTAAGGTCAAGAACGGGACGGCGCAGGGTTAAGGTCACTGACGGGACTGCTCAAAGCTAAGGCGAGCAGTTGGGTGAGCACCTTTTCCGGACAAAATGTTGGCAAGCAGACACATTCTGCCTCTACGCTTGGGTTGCTAGAAGTGGTATCTCTGTTTTTACACGCAAGCTTCCTGCAAGATTACGTACTGAATTCGACCTTGACCTGCCTGGGACCTGCCTTTTCCGAGAATTGCTGGCACTGCATCCGGCCCGATTCGAGGGACAAAATTAGTGTGGCCATGATGAATATCCGGCAACAGGAAAGGTCGCGAACAGAAGGGATTAAATGCAGGCATGCTTGTTGCCAGGCATACAGGCAATACGTTGTTGATAGAACGAAAATTTGAAATGTGTTATGCGTTCACTATGTGCAGTTGGAGCTGGTAAGCATACTTTGATACATCCGACATAAAAGGAGCTCCGACCATCACGTTTGGAAAAGGCCTGCAAACACAGAGGCGCAACCCGTCAACCCAAGGGTGGACTGACCCAGCACAGGTCTGTGCCAAACAGACAAGTGTCAGCTCTGAGAGCGAAAGTCCACATTATCTGCCACAGTTCCATACCAGCATGTAGCAGTGGGCAGCAGCCAGCGGTCAGCGGTCGTGTAGCAGTCAGCTGAGTGACACGGGGCCTCGCTGGGTGACCCCGGTCGGCGCACCGTCCCGCGCGGAATGACCCCGGATCCCATGGAAATTAGTTCAATCTAAGTGCGCAGCCTGGGAAACACGTTCCGCCGACGTGTCGTCGAGCGCGCCCCGGGCGATCGGACGCCACCGGCGCGTGCGATACGCCAACGGGTCGATGGGACGGGTCAGTCCGGCGTGCCCGGCCGGCGCGGCGGCGCGAAGTTCGGGTGTGGTGCTCCCGCGGGGCGGGCTACAGTCGTTCCGAGCCAGAGGCAGAAACACACCTGGCAGCTGTTGGACATCCGACTAGCTATATTGGCGATCCATGTTAGACTGCCAGTAGGCAGACACCCACGGGGCATGACCTGTGATGACCAATATGAGTTGGGAATGGGAAATGTCAGGGACGACGCGGGAGGCCTTCAAAGGTCAGGACTGGAATTCTCTGAGGATCAGCGCTGGCACAATGCGATAGCATAACGGCCCATAGTCTTAAGCTCGGGCTGGAATGCCTAATATCTAGGCTTTGTCTTGTTGCTCACAGACGCGCTCGACAAACATGCCGCTAGCAAACTTTCCATGTTGAGATAGTCTGTTGCACTCGACGCGAGAACAGAAGGTGTTGTTTAACACACTCGAGCACAGCCGTGGCGATTCCCCCAAAGCGAATGGTCACATAGCCCATAGAGCCTGACTTTCAAGCACCTCATGTATATGCATCAGCACGGCTCCTTATCATATAAGAAGAAAGACGTTCGTCTCACATAAGTTCAAGGACAATAGAATACGCCGACCACAGATGGGCCGCTCCCGTGACAGCCTGCCTCGGGACATGTTTTAAAGGGCATGATAACGTTGTGGGTATACACCGTACTGGTGCCGCCAGGGATGTAGCCGGTTCCAACTGGGTCATTTATGTTGTAGGTCCCTACAGCTCGAGTGAAGCTAAGATCTTGAACACGGAACAAGGAAATGTCGATTTAAAAATGAAATTCTAGGAACGTATGCTCAGTGCTTCCGTGGAGTCGGCAATTTTGTTTTTCAAATCTTTGACAGGTGTTCCGTATTCAGGCCTAGGCTCAGGATATCACTGAACGAGTGGTGTGACACATTTCTCGGGTTTATTGCAACACTGTTGACGTCTTCAAGCGACATTAATGTCGCGATAGGTCATACCGGCACGACATGACACCCGCACATGACGACGCATTACACCCGTGCATGCCATGCGTGGTCGTTAATTATGCTAAAGCGTAATAATGCTACGGCGTAATAATGCTACGGCTTGCAAAGCTGTCCTAAGACGTGCTGCGCCACAATTTATATCAGCATTGCGGAGCTGTGCATCCAGCACTGCGCGATAGTATATCAGTAAAGCATGGACATAACAATGAATAAAAACAAAACATTGAACTGCTTCAGGGGGCGGCCGTCAGGATGAAAGTCACCGCGCCTTAAACACTACGGCGATCCATTTCGGTTTTGGTGCCATTTTATACGGCCAAATGCGAAAACATTCCAACATGTCCAAAGGCTACTGCGTCCGGACCCTACCGATTCCAGAGGTAATTACACCTGTGGTTGTCGGAATTAATCATGCAAATTATTTGAAAGGGATTAAAGGGATTGTAAAGAAAGTAAGGATGAAGAGGATTGTAAGAAAACTTTACCAGTTGAGCATAAGTTATACGATTTCAATTGGACGTTAGTTGGAATTTGGATGCTACGGTGATTTTAATTATATGCTCGTCAAAAGCTCAAGATTTATGCGCATCCATAAACTTCTATTTATAACTACCCATTTTGGAACTCGCAGCAATCACGGCAGCGTGCGGTTGCGCCATGATTGCCGATACACGCCCGTTAGCTGCGGTGCTGCTGCTTGTGACGTGACAGGCACACCCTTCAGCGGTGATGACGTCATTGCAGTTCACCGAATGGGGCTCGCGCCTGTCTAACGGTTACAGGGACGTTTCAGTGACATGTGTCACGCTTGTTCCGCGAAAAACTCACGCTGGTGAACTGCTACGTGAAACGCAATTGTGGGCGTGTCACGATTATGGATGATGCCAACATTTGATCCAGTTTTGCAACGCCAGTCAACTCTTCCGTGATGAACTGATGAGCAATGGCGTTATCATGTTTCTCAGGTCGGAGAACAAATCAGGGCTGGAGGGAACAAATTGGAGTTTCGGTGAACGACGTGACTTGAAAGCGGCGTTTTGAATGTAAAAATGTTTTAAATATTTTACAGGGAAACTGCAGGGGGTAAAGTACAATTTCGGGAAAACTGAGGAGGGCATGCCCTCCCAGTTGTTACACCCATGGCTTTGAGTCAGCCCATGTTATGAACCAGCCAACCTTGATGCTGCGAAGCGTCCGTGGAGGTTCGTCTGCTGTGTGCTGGCTACGAGGCACTTGTAATGCCTTCTGTGCACCAATTGTCTGCGAGTTACCAAGGCCACTTTTGTGCGTTACATTGCAATGCATCTGAAATAGCCATGCCATAGCCATTCATTGCCGTAACATGCAGATGAATTAAGGAACCGCAGTAATTGCTTGTGTGAAGCTGTAGTTATTGATCATTGTGTTGCTTTTCCTTCAAACAACCTTTGAACATTTATGTGACCAGTATTCAATCTTTTAAACTCAGCTGAGCTTGTTGCGCGCACTCTCAACACCTTTATTCAAACACGTTCCTAGATTTAAACGGGCGATTTTCACCCTGCACGCTCAGCCGCAGAGAATCACTTGACTCATGATCCACGCGAGGTACGGCTGCCGGCCGCGGCGGTGTGATCGTGGCCAGTGCCGCGTGAACATCCAGTTCCATTTGGAAACCAGCCCTCAGCTCCGAGACACCTGGTCATGTACCACGCCCCCGCAGATGCTCATTCAACAAAGACTGATGCGGTGTTGAGGTCGAAAAAGGGACGCTGTCGGTTCGATCTGCCATAGTATTGATCCTGATCAAGGTCGGGGGAGCCGAGGGACGCTGTCTGGCCATGCGCTGCGGCAAAAATATCCATGACGTTCTCGGCCAACAACGGTAGTGCCCTGGGATGTGGCGAACTCGAATGCCGCTCGCTGACCGTCTCAGGCGCTGCCGAACCCGGTCCTGTGGAAGGGAAGGTTCCGTCTCCGTGTCACGCTCTGCTTCTATGCCATACCACTCGGAAATGATGTGATGAATCATACCTTTCGATGTCTGTACTCCGCAGCTAGGTACTGCTATCCATGTGAGGCCTCGAGCGACGGCGACTGATGTCCTGTCCAGTCAGGCCGGGCTGACAGGCCGCCGGTGGCCGAGCACCCCAGCGGGTTGCCGGCAGCGGGCCAGCAGGGGCGCAGTGCGTGTGAAATGACGGGGCCGCCGTCCAATGACGCTGTTGTTTCGTCACCGTCAGATGAGCACCCGGCCGCGATGCAGACCGCTGCCGGGGACCGACTGCGGCCAGACGCGCTGCTGCTGACGCTGCTCATCCTCCGACTGGTCACCCGGTGACCTGGCACCTGACCTCTGACCCCGGGTCACGCCGCTGCTGCTGACGCTGCTCATCCTCCGGCTCTCCGGCTGGTCGCCCGCTGACCTGGCACTTGACCCCTGACCCCGGGTCACGTCGTCAGCGCCGGCTCCAGGCGGTGGACAGCCTAGGTGTTTGTGGAGCGTTCGCGGCGCCGGAAGCCGCTGTCTGAGAGCTCCGCTTGCGAGCTGTCGCCCAGCGCCCAGCGCCCAGCGCTGTGAACGGAGCGCCGATGGCCGCCCAGTGAACACAGCCCCACCGGAACGGTCGCTGTCTTCGACCAACCGCAGTCCGGGTCAGGACTGGCCGTAGCCACCGGACGCGCGCCGGCTGTTGGTGACCAACACACTCGCTAGTCGCGCAGAGTGGGCCCGGTCGCCGGCGTCAACACGGCGTGTGTGTTGATGCTTGCCGGCGTCGATCCGTCACATTCTGGGCCATCGTGGAGCTGGCAGATGCCGTTTAGTGATGGATGCGCACGTTGGAGAACTATTATTCAGCAGATGCATCGTTCATCATGATGACGGTGGATGAAATACGGACGGTTTGGGGAAGTGTGGATGTAATGGCCGACGTCGAAGCATGCCACCTTGTTACAGCGCAGTGACACAATGTAAATTTTGTCATCGGTTTGTTGCAATGCCTAGATGCGTTTATATTGTGGCCACCTGTGTGTGATGTAGTATAGAAATCCGCTACACATTGCCACAGGTTTTCGTGAAAGCATTTTGCAAATATATATCATAGCTAGTTGACTTTTGCAGTAGGCCATTCCGTTCCATTGTGTCAGTGGCGAAGTCCCAACGGCCCCAGGAAGCCCAACGACTCATTTTCTGGGCTTCATTCCGCGAACCCCATTGCTATTGTTGACTTCCCCAGCGCGCGTCTGGGCGTAGATGAAGCGGTGCGTCGGATGCCGCGTGTTTTGCACCAGCCTGCGGGGCAGTGCGGCTCGAGGGCCTGGTGTTCGTCATCGGGGGCCCATGTATCCATAAGTAATTCATGTGTCTGTTCCCACGGGTGAGGCCAGTGCTAGGGCCAATGGTGTTTCGTAAATGGTGTTGGCCTCCTTGGTGGCAGCGTAAGGCGGCCTCCATCCGATAAAATCGAAAATGATGAGAGTTAAATTTGGGTTTGTTGTCACCATGTGCCCGTCCGCCATGTTGTCCGTGCTCCCCCGCGTCGGCACACGTCACGCGCGTGCAAAGCGTCGACATGTTTCTCTGCAAAGAAAGCGCAACTAGGGATGGAAAGTTACGGAATGCATCGGTAGGCTGGGAATAAATGTTTTACGAACGTCACGCACGGTTGTCGCAACAGCGGTGTTTTGAAACAATGAGCAATCTTGAGCAGATTCACCTGGGATGCTGTTACCTCCGTGGCACGCTGTGCGACATTGTGATGCTTTATTGGTTGCTTCGGGGCGCGAGATGCAGCCCCTGTTCCGGGCTCACCCCGGAGGCGTGCCCGTTGAACGTGAATCGTCTAGTCAGGATCCGACCGCTTGCACTGCAAGGCCGAGAGTCCCATATACGTTGTCCATGATGCGAGCGGCGAGGCTGTTCTTGATTGTATGCTGTTGGGTATGCATGGATGGAGGATGCCGTGTGACAGATGTGGCAACGCCCACACCGACATCCTCCAAAGTAAGCATTATTTCAGCGCACTTTCGTTGAACGATTGTCCCCTCAGTGGCCCAAACACTCAACGTTTCTAGACATCCCCCATACGCGCCGATGTGCGTGCGAGTGCGCGCGCATGTCCGTGCACGTGTACGTTTGTATGTGTGGGCGTGCGTGCGTGCATGTGTGCGCGTAGCATATTCTTAAACGATGTGTTTTTTAACAACGTTGCTACACCCGCACGTGCGTGTGCCGCGGGCCGAGTGTGTGACGTCTGTTGCGACGGAGTGCTGTAGACCACATCACGCGCCACGAGGTCCGATAGCATGGCAGTAGAACGTCCCCAGCTGGCGCACCGAATGCCTGGAAAAGGCAGGCCGTGGGGCCGTCGTGTTCGGATCCACGCCCCTCGCTGTCGGATGCCAGCGTGCATGGGACGATGCCTACACATGTGACGGCCTTCGAGGTTAGATCCATGCCGTGGAGCGGATGGCGGCGCATGCGTGACATGTGGCGCGTACGCGAGTGGGTGGACGGTGACGAATTCAAAATAAACGCTTCGTGGGAAACGTGGTGGTAAAAAGTCGGCAACTGGTAACGATCTGCCTCATCTCGGGCTGCAGTTGTCAGAAGACGTCGCTGGATTACGATATTTTTTTACTCAACGGGCAGAGACAGGCGCGGAGCGCGAGGTATCGTCTAGCGCCCACTACACGGGCCGAGCGCTGCCCGTAAGCTCCGTGTCGTAGCCGTTCACCGACAACCTGCAGCTCCACCGGCCGGCCAGGGCCGCCCGGGTGTCACGTGTGAGCTCTCTCTCTCTCTCTCTCTCTCTCTCTCTCTCTCTCTCTCTCTCTCTCTCTCTCTCTCTCTCTCTCTCTCTCTCTCTCTCTCTCTCTCTCTCTCTCTCTCCCTCTCTCTCTCCGACTTCGACGGATCGCTGGGCGGGAGCGGGAGGGGGGGGGGGGGGGGGGCGCCAGGTGCCGACACCAGACGGCTCTGGACCGCGACACCTCCACAGCGCGGCTGGTGTCCGGCGTCTGGTGCTGTCCGTGACCGTCCTGCCGCCAGCAGGCGCCGTAAGGTCACGCTATACAGCGCGCCTGCGACACGAGAGGGAGATGAAAACCCGACGTCTCCTCGTTCACCGCGTGATATAGTGGCCTGTTTCTCCCGGCCGGTAGAGCATATGGCGGCCGTCCAGAATGCATGATCATGAACGGCGCCGTGTGCTACATGTCTGAGCACTGGAAGGCGAATGGGTCGAGCTCAGTAACACAGCGACAGTCAAACCCTACGGTCCAATGGCGAGCAACGTCGTCGATGCTTAACCGAATCAGTGGGCGTGCGAGTAACAAGGACGGTGCGTGCTTATGCGGGACGCACCTGCTGGCAGCGCGGGATAGGCGCTGTTTGGATTGCGCAGGGTTGGTAAAGCCACGGCCGTTTTGGGTTGTCCGGGAGGAAAATGAGCTGGGCTTGTCAGCCAGATGATCGTGATTTGCTAGCGGCTACGGTACATGATATGGTTCCGCGGCGTGATCAAAATTGGTCATCGGGGTTATCATGTAAGGCCCCTACCTTATCTTAAGGCTTCCTGGCGCGCTAAATTCGTCCTATTTTGCCGATATTAAAGGCTGTTCTGTCGGATTAGGGAAAGGCAGTTGGATGGTTGCCCTCCCCCTATTCGAGCAAACTTCACGAAGCCCATGGTATTTAGACTTGCATGCATACGAGGGTGACACATTCTACTCGTGCTCCCTCATTGTATGGGATCCGCTACCACAGCCCCAGAGTCGGTTATTTCATGCTACTATGGTGCTTGATCTCGGCCGCTTCCACTGACCAGCTAACTTTTGGTCAGCTATTAATCTGTTAGGAATCCTCCGGCAATTGAACTTTGTTACCACCGGGCTTGCAAGGCCAGCTCACCCACCCGTCCGTCACCACCCCGTCAAGAATCTCTCGGCACATTTGCTGGACTCTTACCGCATCTCCACGGTGAGGTCGCCTCCTGCTCGCGAAGGTGGTATCCATGTTCACCGCGCCGCGTCAGGGCCAGCTTGGCCAGTAGGTCCTCTGTCTGCAGATCCACCCCGGTCCAGCTCTCCATACGCGACTCCGTCCTACCCACGGCGTTCAAAGTTTGTGCGGCGTGCCGCCGTTACTGGCCAAGTTTGCGTCTGTTCAAACCGGCCGTGCGGTTGTTTATGGCTCGCAAACAAGCATTAATTGAAACATTTTCACTGGTGTATGAAGTCCAAGATGAAGCACCGCACAAAGTTACGGAGAAAAGTTAACATAAAAGCAAGCAAGATTCCCAGATGGGCCCTGGGGCACATTGCAACATAACTTGCAGCACGCATGCTGCTCGACTGGCACGTAACAGAGTCTGCCTATTGACTTGACTGCGTGACCTGAAAGCTTCAGTAACCCAATCACACGTGGGCTGGCTCAATGGTGCGGGTAGCGATGTTTTGGCAAAAGAGCGGTAGGCGCGCTTTTTCCAGGTCCCCGTCCAATGGACATATAGCACCCCAAGGATTGCAGGGGTGCACTGGCCGTTGTGTTTGGCTCATGAGCGGTTATGCACGCGCACATGGGGTTAAATGTTATGGGGTTAAAAAGCATTTCCCAAAGTAGAAATAAATGTTTTGAGAGCCGCAGCAGAACTAGCTGACCATGCCTGGCCTTTGCAGAGTTCGGTGGGCATCACGAACGATCTCAATTTAAGCACCACATAAGAGCACGCCTACACACGAGAGCCCACTACCCACGGGAGCACGTTAAACACTAGATCGCACTGCACACGAGAGCACACTGGAAACGAAATCACACCGTGCAAGAAAGCACGCTAGACACGAGAGCACACTGCACACGAGAGCACGCTACACACGGGATCACTCTTTACACAAGAACACGCTACACACGGGAGCACATCGCATACGGGAGCGCTAAACACGCGTACGCTTACGGGTTACGCATGGTTACGCGTACGCATACGCGCAGCGCATGGTTCCTCGGCAGCGCTCGTGGTTAGACGTGAGAACCATGACGCTACCCAGCCGTGTGGGTGGGGGTGGGGGTCTGCACATGTGCTGAATTGGCTGCTGCATGATTTGGGTTTCAGTGAAGCCATATGTTTTGCGCAAGGATTTCATTGCTATTATTGCTATTTCTTTGTTGTCAATTATAACCAAAAGAACGCCTCTTGCGGCGCGGGACGAGCCAGACAATGACGGAGGTGGGTGTTATCATCATAAAGATGATACCAGCAGTAAGTCCTGCGCAACGAGGGAACAGCGAGGGGATAACATACCTGGGGAGGGAGGGTCGTCAGTTGTCACCCTGTAGAGGACGCAAAAAAACTTGTCTGTTAAAGCCACACACATTTGGCAACCGATACCGATGGACTTAACCTATATGTCGTTAAGTAAACCTTTCATGAGGATTTAGCAGGTAGTGGCACACTGGTGTAGCATTTGTGCGCTAACCTGCAAACACCATTGCCTGACAAATGACTGGCCATGAGTCCAACCAGGCTTCGCAATTTCACTGGACAGCTTCGCTGGAAGTGCACTGTATTAATCTACATTGCTGGCGATTAGGGCTTTATCAAAACGAAACGCAAAAATTGTTATGAATGTCGGTGACAATAGCAGGTTCACGCTACGCTGTAGTTTTCATGGTTCAATCCTACTCGGCTTAGGTCGCAGCATCATAATTTGAGGCGGATTTCGAGGAAGCTGACACTGGCCGCTTTCTGGGGGTAACACGTCTTCATTTGTTCTGGTTGTTGGAATATGACGTCACGCTGGTATACCACCTCGACCGGGTGGATCCACGGCTAGCGCACGATAACGCGTCCTAGCCTGTACAAATCGACATACTTGTGACACAATAGACACGCAATATGCTCACAATATGCTCACTATGCTCACAATGGACACACTTGCGTGTCTGTTGTGAGCATATTGTTTCTATTGCGATTGTCCATGTTCTTCTCCGTTGACACTCGTTAGCCTCGTGTTGCCGCGATACCGGGTTGTCGAGATCTGCAACCGATCTCTAGCTGTGTCTTTCAGCTTTTTTGCAAGTGGAAGCCTTCTCCCAAGTGCAAACCAAGTGGAAATTTTCTCATTGTAATCCGAAGGGAGCGGTAAAATCGGGTGATGCTGCAATGTTACGGGAAAAACGCGCCGAATAAAACACCTTGTGCACAAATGTCTAACAGCAACACTGCATAACTTAGACATAAGTTTCAAGTGTCTCTTTTTGGCGGAAACTGCACGCACCTAAGATGAGTGGCCGCAAAGCTACTGGTTTCTTAAATGAGTGATGGCCGGACTATTTCGTGAGATTTGTGAGAAGATTGCTATCCTAATCGGCAAATTTGTCGAATATGGTTCGGTATGCATTTTTCGGTGGCCGTTACAAAACCACAGGCAAAAAACCTGTAAGTATTGGTCAAAAGAAGTGAGCACCTAAGTCTTCTTCAGTGCCGAGACAATCAGAAAATGACGGACGTACTTGTATGCGTTGACTTCCCGTCTTTCCCTGCGCTGGTTATGTAAATCCTGAAAACCCTGAATCAAATGACTGAATCCTTAAAAACGTCTTAAAAACGGACGACCTGAACCGACGACTCGCGTATCGCACAAGGTGACAGACCGTCAACA